CTTAAAGCCACAGAGGGCTCTAGAACTAGTTCCATAAAGCATTTTACTGTAAAAATATGTACAGATCTTTAATAGAAAAGTATGTTTCTTTACAGTAGAAAAATATCTGAACAGTCAACTTAAGACAAAAATTCAAATATAACATACGACCTATAAACTATATATTTAGCTAAAACTGAATCGAGCTGTTTATAAGAACTGATTCCAAAATATACATACATGAATTTACATAACTGATACATAGAAGTTCTTCAAAATCGACTGTAAACTGAAAAGTTAAAATTGGCCTTGCCTCTGCAGTTTGGAGCTGCAATGGCTGCCAGTATCGGCTGCTTTCTTGGTGCCTGAGCTGCAGGGTGGGCCTGTCAAGGTGGGACTGCTGTCTGGGTCACTTTCCCTCTGGCTGTTTGTGGCGCAGGTGCATGAGGCGCTCAATCTTGGCCTGGAAAGAATACCTCGAAAGAATATCACGCACTGGAAGTCTGTGAGGAAGTGAAGACGCTAAAAGCGGGCAGTGCTGTGTTTACTTATAGACAGTGGAGCGGGTCCAGGGCAGTCCTCGCCAGGCTGGTTTTTAAAGCACTTTTTTGGTTTAGGATTCAGCTTCATCATGGTCACTTTCATTATCATTGTCATTCTCCTCATCTTCTTCCCTCTTTTCCTCTTTAAGCATTTTCAGGTATTTACTAGCTAATATCTTCTTTGGTAATATATCTTAAAAACATAAAGCTTACATCAGCAATTGGTTATGGTAGACTATGAACACAGCAATGCACATTTCAAAATGTACTAGTTCCTGCTTTGACCTCTACAAGAGGTTCCAAAACAAGATGAAATTCAGGCTACATTTCTGGGTAAAATATCACAGAAACTAGCATTGTCTCCTAACAAATGCTATAGGCCTCTTTCCATTATTCCACTGAGTACAAACCATGGTGTCTCTATGAGCTGCTTTTATAAGCAACCCTGCCCAATTACCTGAGATAGGCTAGGCTAGCCCCAGGGCAGACTTAAGCTCTAACGATGGGCATGTGGACCCACCCTGAGTTTTCCCTTCAGTGGCAGGAAGGGTCCCTGTAAAGGACTGCCCAACACAGGCGGCCAACCAACATCTTCTGAATGCTGTTGGCTTCACTGTTGTTCTAGGTGGACCACATAACACACACATTCAAACAGAGAAGACTAAAAGTATCTTCCTGTGACAGCTCATAGCACTTTGCGGCCTGGAAAGAGTAGCAAAAAGTCTAATTCCATGAAAGCAGAAGGGACGCAAGGGGTGGGGAAAGAGCTATTGATTACTAATCATTTTTTAACCAGAATGTTTCAAAGACTAAGTACCTGCAAGAAACTGAAAAGTTTCTGATTCCTGTGCAGTATTTGCTAAATCACTGTAAGTCAGTACTTTCTTTTCCTTTCCACTGCCGTGTCTGTAGGAATAGGTGGCTAGGCATTGAACAAAGAGCTCCTAAAACAAAATGAAAAAGGAAAATAAAAGGTGTGCTTTGAAAATGTACCACAGAGCTTAATTTTGTAAAATTACATTGCTGATACCTTATTATCAGGCTTAAAATTACATTAAGACTTCAGATTATCTTGGTTTCTTAAATTACAAGAAATCACTGCGGAGGCCAGGTGTGGTGGCTCAACACTTTGGAAGGCTGAGGCAGGCGGATCACTTGAGGTCAGGAGTTTGAGATCACACTGGCCAACATGGTGAAACCCCATCTCTATTAAAAATACAAAAATTAGTTGGGCATGGTGGCAGGTGCCTGTAATCCCAGCCACTTGAGAGGCTGAGACAGGAGAATCGCTTGAACCTGGGAAGTGGAGGTTGGAGGTTGCAGCACTCTAGCCTGGGCGAGACTCCGTCTCACCAAAAAAAAAAAAAAAAAAAGAAACAAATAAATCACTGGGGAAAAGAAAAACATGAGGTCAGAAAGAAAGCAAAGCCGGTATCAAAACTGGCAGAGAAGCAGGCATTTTCCACAGGCTTTAGATGTCTAACTTATGAAAAAGATTAATCATAACTGTTTAATGGCCAACCTCTAGAGTAAAAAAAGAAGCGGCCTGGCCGGGCGCGGTGGCTCAAGCCTGTAATCCCAGCACTTTGGGAGGCCGAGACGGGTGGATCACGAGGTCAGGAGATCGAGACCATCCTGGCTAACACGGTGAAACCCCGTCTCTACTGAGAAATACAAAAAAAAAAAAAAAAAAAAAAATAGCCGGGCGTGATGGCGGGCGCCTGTAGTCCCAGCTACTCGGGAGGCTGAGGCAGGAGAATGGCAGAACCCGGGAGGCGGGCAGTGAGCGAGATCAGCCACTGCACTCCAGCCTGGGTGACAGAGCGAGACTCCGTCTCAGGAAAAAAAAAAAAAAAAAAAAGCGGCCAGCAGTGCTGGCTCACGAAAAAAAAAAAAAAAAAAAAAAAAAAAAAAAAAAAAGAAGCGGCCAGCAGTGCTGGCTCACACCTGTAATCCCAGCACTTTGGGAGGCCGAGGCGGGCGGATCACAAGGTCAGGAAATCGAGACCATCCTGGCTAACATGGTGAAACCCCGTCTCTACTAAAAATACAAAATCAAAATTAGCCGGGCGTGGTGGCAGACGCCAGTAGTCCCAGCTACTGGGTAGGCTGAGGCAGGAGAATGGCAGGAACCCGGGAGGCGGAGCTTGCAGTGAGCCGAGATCGCGCCACTGCACTCCAGCCTGGGCGACAGAGCCAGACTCCATCTCAAAAAAAAAAAAAAAAGAAAAAAAAAAAGAAAGAAAGCAGCAAAAAGCCATTCAAAAATTCTATTTGGCTCAGTAATACATTTTTAGTCTTCTATTTGCATACACTGTTTCTAAGGTGGTTCACCTACAACTACAGTGACCACAACTCACATTTTGCCGAAACTTTTCTATTCTAGAAACTAACGTACAATCCACAGACCTAATGCAACAACCGGAATTGATCATCTTCTCCCTCCTGCACCCCAGTTCTTATAGCAGGGCCAAGTCTTCATTTTTACAGAGGCTGAACTGAGCCTTTCTCAAGGTTTTGACTTTAATGCATCTAGTTCAGTTAATAAGGGATGAGAAAGACAGGCATGGTGGCCTGTAATCCCAGCAGTTTGGGAGGCTGAGGCAGACGGATCACTTGAGTTCAGGAGTTCAAGACCAACTTGGGCAACATGGTGAAACCCTGTCTCTACCAAAAAGTACAAAAATTAGCCAAGTGTGATGGCAAGCACCTGTAATCCCAGCTACTCAGGAGGCTGAGGCAGGAGAATCACTTGAACCCGGGAGGCAGAGGTTGCAGTGAGCCGAGATCACGCCACTGCACTCCAGCCTGGGCAACTCCATCTCAAAAAATAAGGGATCAGAAGTGCCTGCATAAATCCTCATTCCTTAATACCAATAGAATGAAACTGTACAGGAAAACACAAATGCCGCCAGATGACCCCAGGGTCACTTTCCCTCTGGCTGTTTGTGGCCTAGGTGCAATAATTGCTGAATATGCAATTATTTCCCTGGGCTCTAGGAAAACATGGCTCTCATATAAAGCGGGCAAGAAACCTGTAATTTCCCACTTCCCTTAGTTCTAGTCCAATACTGTCGGAACATCATATTCTTAACTACAAGTAGGGACTGGAAAATGGAATCCAAGGCAAGCCAAAGCATTTAACTGTGTAGCTGAAACATGGCCCAGTTTCAGAACAGGAAAACATCTGGCCTAACATATCAAGATGCAATTTCTTAAAAAAGACAAAATTAACTATTTTGCATCCAAGAGGATGCTAAACAGGCTGTAAAACTAAGTTCCCTGGACTTCCTTAAATTCTGGTTGGGGTATGTGCTGCCTCTTAAGACGAGGGGCCAGGTGTGGCGGGCGGGTGGGCTCGAAAGCCTCGGACCGCTGGAGCTGGCACCGCACCTACGGGGAAAAAAGCCTCGAGTGGCGGGTGAAGCGCCCGGCTGCACCTCTCACGGGACATTGGAGGAGTCAGGGTCCCCAAAGCACGAAGCAGGCCAGTGACGAGAAAAGGAACGCCGGGAGTGGGAATCTCGGGCGAAAAAGCCCCCCAAAAGACCTAACGAGAAAAGCGCCACTCGGCGCCGACGCCCACGATTAGAGCCGGAAACTGCGCGCCGCACGCGAGGGAGGACGGGAGCGCACAGGTAGGCGGGACGAAAGGCGCGCAGAGGAACGCGGGAGTTTACAGGTTTGCCGGACGGAAGCGCGCGAGAAATGGCGGGAGGACAGTGGGGTGGGCGGGGCGAAGGTGCACAAGGAAGGGAGGGGCGGGCGGAGCGAAGGAAGGAGAGAAAGGGCGGGAGAGGCCCGCGGTAGGCGGGGCGAAAAAACTTGAGAACCGGAGGGAGCGGCGCGAGATGGGCGGGGCGAAGACGCGCGAGAAAGTGTGGGGGCGCGGGGGCACCGTGGCGCGCGCCGGCGTGGGACGGGGACAGCGGGGCGCGCGCGAGCCCGGCAAGGGCAGCCGGCGGCGCGCGGGACCAAGGGGAATGGGCAGTGCCCAGAGCCCGGCGGGGCGGGGCGCGACGGGTAAGGGCGGCCCACACCCCCGCCCTACCCCCTCACCGTGGCCTTGGCTGTGAGCACCAACGCCTCCTGGTTGATGCTGGACACCTCGGGGGAGCTCTTCATGATGACCCGGATGCGGGATAGAGGCAGCGAGATGAGCCGCTGCTCCCCGCACTTGTCTTTGCCCACGACCACGTCCGCCATCTTCCCGCCCCTCGCGCGGGAGGCAGCCGGCAGGCCCGACCGCTAAGTGGCTGCCTTGCAGGCCAGCCGGTGGGTGCGGGGAGCCGCGCCCGCTGCCCCGTGGGAGTTGTAGTGTGGGGAGGCGCCGCTGCGAGGCCGGGAGCGGCCAGTTCGGGAGACTACGAGCTCCGTGATGCCTCGCGCGCCCCATCTGCGCATGCGCCGCCCTTCGGATCCTCCCCCCCAACCGAGTGTGTGACCTGACGTGGAGCCAGGAGTCCAGAGTCTAGTGAGGGGCGGGGGCCGGGGCGCTGCGGGGGCCCGCACTTCTTGGGAGTCGCCGGGCTGCGATCGCGGACTACGATTTTGATCCGGGTGAGGGCTCTGCGAATGGGCAAGCAAAACCCTCTGAGTCCGGGCCTCGTCGCTCGGTGCTGTGTGTTAAGGGCCTGCGCTGTGCTAGGACCGGGCGTGCCGCCGTGGGCAAAAGTTCTGGGGGGGCGACCAAGCGGCAGCGGATGCGTCCTGCGCCGGTAGCCACGCGGCCGGTGGAAGAGCAGAGAACCAGCACGGGCCATGCGGCGGGGCCGGGCTTGCTGCACCGCTCTGCGCTGCGGGGTGATGGGGAGAGGCGCCTTCATTGGGGGTGAAGGGCGGGGAGCTGCCCGGAGGAGGTCCTGGAGCCTGATGGGAACAGCCTCTTCGGGGCTGCTCCGAGAGACGGAGTGCAGAGCCTGGCGTGCTCGCTGAGGTCTGACAGGCAGCCCGGGGCTAGGTCCTGTTGGGTTTTTTTTAATCTAAAAAAAATGGGAAGTCGTGGTAGGGTTTGAGCAAAGGAGTCCCGGGCAGTTTTTTTTTTTTTTTTTTTTTTTTGAGACGGAGTCTCGCTGCGTCGCCCAGGCTGGAGTGCAGTGACCGGATCTCAGCTCACTGCAAGCTCCGCCTCCCGGGTTCACGCCATTCTCCTGCCTCAGCCTCCCGCGTAGCTGGGACTACAGGCGCCCGCCACCACGCCTGGCTAATTTTTTGTATTTTAGCCAGGGAGACGGGGTTTCACTGGGTTAGCCAGGATGGTCTCGATCTCCTGACCTCATGATCCGCCCGTCTCAGTCTCCCAAAGTGCTGGGATTACAGGCTTGAGCCTCCGCGCCCGGCCCGGGCAGTTTTTAAAGGATCCCTGCAACTGCGGGCTGGGAGGGGGTGGGTGCGCTTAAGGGCGGAGTCACAGAGACCAGGTAGAAGATGATTAGGAGAACCCAGGAACTTGGCCCTCAAGAGGCCGGCGGTACCAAGGGAACAGCAGCTGGGAGGAGAGAGGCAGGAGATGGTCTGGGGCCAGACCAGGGAGGGCCGTGGAGACTGCAGAATTCGCTCTGAATGAATGGGGAGGCCCTTGGCAGAGTAAGGGGTCCAACTTAACTGGGTTTTTTTTGTTTGTTTTTGTTTTTGGTGACGGAGACTCGCTCTGTCGCCAGGCTGGAGTGCAGTGGTGCGATCTCGTGTCATTGCAACCTCCGACTCCCTGGTTCAAGCAATTCTCCTGCCTCAGCCTCCTGAGTAGCTGGGATTACAGGCACGTGCCACCCAGCTATTTTTTTCTATTTTTAGTAGAGACGGGGTTTTACCATGTTGGCCAGGATGGTCTTGATCTCCTGACCTCCTGATCCGCCCGCCTCGGCCTCCCAAAGTGCTAGGATTACAGGCGTAAGCCACCGCCTCCGGCCACCAACTTAACTTTTAGCAGGATCATGGGAAGTGGTAGGTTTGGGGTCTGATTTCAAGAGGGAGCTGATGTGGAATATCAGCACAGCTTACTGAGATATCAGAAAGGCCTTGGTAAAGAGCTATTTACGGAGATAGGGAGCACATTTTGGCAAAGGTTTGAATTGGAAGGTGTTAAGTGTAGTGTCATCTTCACCACTGTGACCTCAGGTCCTGGCGCACATAATTGAGCACAGAAATACATGTCAGGCATTGCTAAGCACAAGGGTACAGCCAGTGAGCAGGGCTGCGTGGTCCCTGCCCTCTTAGAGCTGACCTTCAGGTCTGAGGGAGACTGAAAAATAAATAATACCTCCGGCTGCGTGCTGTGGCTCACGCCTGTAATCCCAGCACTTTGGGAGGCCGAGATGGGCGGATCACCTGAGGTCAAGAGTTCCAGACCAGCGCCACTTGCACTCCAGCCTGAACAACCAGAGAAATTTCGTCTCAAAAAAAAAATTATTTTTATTTATGTATTTATTTTGCTCTTGTTGCCCAGGCTGGAGTGCATTGCGCACTCTCGGCTCACTGCAACCTCTGGCTCCCAGGTTCAAGCAATTATCCTGGCCCAGCCTCCCGAGTAGCTGGGATTACAGGCATGTGCCACCATGCCAGGCTAATTTTGTATTTTTAGTAGAGACAGGGTTTTGCCATGTTGGTCAGGCTGGTCTTGAACTCCTGACCTCAGGTAATCCTCCCACCTCAACCTTCCAAAGTGCTAGGGTTACAGGCGTGAGCCACTGTGCCCGGCAAAAAAAAATTTTAATTAATAGGGCATCATGGCATGCACCTGTGTTCCCAGCTACTCTAGAGGCTGAGGCAGGAGAATGGCTTGAGCCCAGCAGGTCAAGGCTGCAATGAGCAGTGATTGTGCCACTGCAATCCAGACTAAGCAACAGAGCAAGACCCTGTCTCAAAAAAAAGTTTTGGGGAGACCAAAGTGGGCGGATCATGAGGTCAGGAGTTCGAGACCAGCCTGGCCAACATAGTGAAACCCCCATCTCTACTAAAAATACAAAAATTAGCCGGGCATGGTGGTGCACGCCTATAGTCTCAGCTACTCAGGAGACTGAGGCAGGAGAATCGCTTGAACCCGGAAGGCAGAGGTTGTAGTGAGCAGATACAGCGCCACTGCACTCCAGCCTGGGCAACAAAGCGAGATTCCATCTCAAAAAAAAAAAAAGTTTCAGGCCAGCCACAGTGGCTCACACCTGTAATCACAGCACTTTGAGAGGCCGAGGCAGATGGATTGCTGAGGTCAGGAGTTCCAGACCAGCCTGGTCACCATGGCAAAACCTCGTCTCTACTAAAAATACGAAAATTAGCTGGGCATGGTGGTGTGCACCTGTAATCCCAGCTGCACGGGAGGCTAAGGCAGAAGAATCACTTGAATTCAGGTGGAGGGTGCAGTGAGCCGAGATTACACCACTGCATTCCAGCCTGGGCAACAGAGTAAGACTTCCTCTCAAAAAAAAAAAAAAAGGGGTTTTGAAGGGAGCAGATCCACTTTATTTTTTTTTTTTTTTTTTTTTTTTTTTTTTTTTTTGAGACGGAGTCTCGCTCTGTCGCCCAGGCTGGAGTGCAGTGGCCGGATCTCAGCTCACTGCAAGCTCCGCCTCCCGGGTTCGCGCCATTCTCCCGCCTCAGCCTCCCGAGTAGCTGGGACTACAGGCGTCCGCCACATCGCCCGGCTAGTTTTTTGTATTTTTTTAGTAGAGACCGGGTTTCATCGTGTTAGCCAGGATGGTCTCGATCTCCTGACCTCGTGATCCACCCGTCTCGGCCTCCCAAAGTGCTGGGATTACAGGCTTGAGCCACCGCGCCCGGCCAGCAGATCCACTTTAAAAGCACACACTGGTTCTTGAGTGATGACGAAATTGCACTGTGCCTTATGCAGAGCCGACGCCTGGCAGTTTGCACAAGCAGGAGGTGGAGCTGCAGACTCCCTCTCCCTCCCAGCCTTGCCTCTGTAAGTGGGAAAGCCCTTGACATTCACAAAAGACGGGCAGGGAACTGCTGCACAAGAGCAGCTACACAAGAGGGTCCTTTGGTCCACACAAGAAACAAGCCATAGTGATGACATATTTTGAAGCTGGTAGATGTTTTGTTTCCCTAGCTGGCTATTGTTTTTTGTATGGCTTGTCTTTCTCTTTTGAGTATGTGTGAGAACAGGATGGGTTAACATTAGGAAAGAGCACGGAAGAGGAAGGAAGGAGGGAGGGAGGGAGGGGAGAAAGAGAGAATAGGGATGAGAAGCTCAGCTTGTAGAATGGGCTGGTGATGTTTGCAGTTATTAATAATTTGAGAAGTAGAGAGAGAAGCCAAGCAGGAAATCCAGACTGGAAAAGAAGTGCTTACCATTTGAAAAAAAAAGCCAGTGTGGTTGTTCACAGCTATAATCCCAACACTGGGAGACTGAGGCGGGAGAAATACATGAAACCAAGAGTTTGAGACCAGCCTGGGCAATATAACAAGATCCCCGTCTCTACAAAAAGAAAAAAAAATGTTAAAAAGGAAGCAAGCTTTAAACCTAAATGGCAGATTTCAAGACTGTTATCCTTGAGAACTTCCCGGCTCTGGAAAAAGCTCAGTGAGTTAGTCTCATCCTGAGGCATTCTCAGATCCATTTTTTAGGGGCTCACTTTGTCTTCACGACAGTGCCTCTGCACCATTCTCATGGGCATCCCAGGGTGGTGCAAGGCAGTTTTCTGCACTTCCCAGAATGCCCTGTTGGCTGGCTTCTGGGTAGGTTCTGCAAATTGGAGGCTCCTGTGAAAGATTGCTGTGGGGTGGGAGGAAGAAGCCTGTTTATCTGCCTGCTGATTGCTGGGTAGTGACTGCAGTGGGGTTATAGGAATCACCACCTGCACATGTGGTGCTTTGAGCAGCTTCACTCTTAAGTGTCTGCTCAACAGTGGCAGCCCTGGAGTCCTTCTGGAGCGAGTGTGGGCTCCGGGCCAGGGGCAGTCCCAGCTTCGTGATCGCTAGGTAGCATCTCCTCCCTTTTGCTCTATAGCACTTCTGCCTTCTCAGTCACACACCTCCTTCTCAGTCATGCGACTCCAGCGCTGACAATACCCTTGAAAACAATTCTCGGCCAGGCGCAGTGACTCATGCCTGTAACCCCAACACTTTGGGAGGCTGAGGCAGGCAGATCGCTTGAGGTCAGGAGTTTGAGACCAGCCTGCCCAACATGGTGAAACCCCGTCTCTACTAAAATACAAAAGTTAGCCAGGCATGGTGGTACATGCCTGTAATCCCAGCTACTTGGGAGACTGAGGCAGGAGAATCGCTTGAACCCAGGAGGCGGAGGTTGTAGTGAGCTGAGATCACACCACTGCGCTCCAGCCTGGGCAACAGAGGAAGACTCACTCTCAAAAAAATAAAAATAGAAATAGCTAAGAAGTTTCTGCTTTCCTGATTGAGCGTTGAAACATTCATACTTGGAGCCTGGAGTGGTCCTTGGAAACACCCACAAAAATGAGGATCTGGGGCTGTTTATCTGAATTGATTGCGCTGGTATGTAGAGAAGCCGTTACTGACAGCATGCCCTGGCAAAGTAGTTACTGAAACCATCACCTGTCATTGCCTGCATGGAGTGTCCATTGAAGGCA